AGATGCCGGACTATTGGAGGGGGGGCTATGAGGGGTCTGAGGTGTGGGGGGGATGCCCCCCCAGACCCCTCATAGACCCCCCCCCCCTTCTGATAGTCTGGCATATCTGATAATCCGGCACCCCCTGGGTCCTAAAGGTGCCGGATTATCGGAAGTTTACTGTACACAGTTCAGCAGCATATCATTTCTATCTAGATACTCTTGGTCTCCAATGGATTGCCAAAATTCAGTGTTCTCAGTAGGAAATTTCCATCACTTCCACAAAGGGATTAATCAACACTTGTCCTCTAACAGAATATTCCACTAGAAATTCCATGGAATGTCTAATGTGGCATATGTTTCCCACACTCCCTTCCTCCTGTATGGGGACAATTTGGACTCAAGAATTAATCAGCTATGCCACTAAGCAACCTTGAAGCAAGTATCTTATTCTCACTGTATCTTTACTTCACTGCTCGAAAAATGAAGATAGTCACACATGACACAGAGATGAAAATTTAAAATACTGTAAAAGTGTGACCAAACTAAAATTTAAAAAATGAAAAATTAAAAAGATGGAGAAATTAACAATAACTATGCTATCACTTGCAAATGATGAAGTAGTAAACAGGATCTTTATATTTACTATTACTAACAGTATACATAATGAAGGCAAAAATTGCAGTATCAGCTTCAAAATGGTGTACAGGTATTACATATATAGCAAGAAACCAATTCTCATTATTAATCTTTATTTTGCTTTCTCCTACTTTAAAAAGAGGAGTCACAGATTTAGCAACATATTACCAAATATTTTCTATACTGGAAATATAATTATACTCAGCCAACACTGAGCAGATGAGAAGTTCTGAAAAATAATTCATTCTGTATATAATATTACAAATTTGCTTCTTTTTTTCTACCATAGGGAGATTTTGTATGACAGAAGAGGCTATGGAGCATTTGAAGGGGTTAGTTTTTTAGTTAGGACAGTCCTTAAAGCAGCATTTCTCAATCTGTGGGTCCCGACCCTCCGGGGGATCGAGAGCAACTGAGAGAGGGGTCGAAAGCAACTGAGAGGAGGGTATCACAAGTGTGAGAACCCCTGCCTTAAAGAGTCACCTATGTCTTCACAGACATGACAAGAAATGTGCACAAAAACATTTTCTCTCAAGTCCCAGATGATGAAAATACTAGAAGGCAACCAGATCTCCCAATTCGCTGTAACCTGAGGAAATGGAGGAAAGGGGGACCAGCAATGAAATAAGATAGGAAAACTGAGATATTTAGAATTATTCTATTCCAATTTGCATATTCCAGATGCAAAGGACTACTGATAATACTAGTTTATTAGTGCTTACAGCATTCTAGTGCAGAAAATACTCTCGAGTCTAAACCCAACTTCACAGGGCTCTTAAAACCTAGCACTCCTATTACTGGGATTTTTCTTCCAGCTGTCTCCATAATGTACTCTAGGATTGTACAGTCTAAATTTCAGTGAGCTATTTAAAGTGAGGTTTAATTTTGAAAAGGGTTCACAAAAATGGCACCTTCTTACTCATCAAGCCAGCTTTCTGGGTGCATTAGTCATATTTCATTATTCAGTGATCAGAATAACAATTTTTAAAACTTTTTTAAATTAATTGACCTTAAAGAATCAGCACTACAATGAAAAAGCCAAACTTAATTTGTTTCTAACAGACTCCAAATTGTTAACCAAATATTTCTTTTAGTGCTATCCACACCAACCCAATTTGTCTCTAAATTATGCCTTTAAACACTTCTGCTAGAGCACTACCTTGCACAGGTGCAACTAAGGGCATAATCTGAGATTAGTGGGATTCCACAGATGTAATTGAGATTAGCATTTGGCCAGCATAATCCTTACTGTGATACTGAATTTGCAGGCCTGACAACTAAGAAAAACTCTTTATTTTTAAGATGAACAAATGTGATCTGGAAATCAGTGAGCTGCAATACGGGTGACCTCCCCCATGGTTCCTTTTTTCAAAGTCACTTTGGGAGAAGCAGCACACTTCAAACTTCACCTCATTGTCTTGGAAGTTTTCCTATTCACAATGTCTCAGCTGGATACCAGCCTACACTAGAGAAATGCCCAGCACGTCTCAAAGCTTTAGAAACACCCACCAAACAGAGGGAAAGGTGAAGAAAATAAAAGCACTTTCTCAGGTTGTTCAAAGGGGAACTTCAGGCCCAGCCCCCCAAAAAAAAGTTTGAAAAGGGGATTCGTGAGCTGCTCTTCCTGCCCCCACTCTGGTGTTGTTAACTACGCGGGGCTTGAACTGACGTCCTCCCAAAGAAACAGCCCCGCTCCTTCCTTGCACGCACAGCCCTGTGAGTCTGCCTGTGGACCCGATCCCCGCTCCTGAGCACAGCCCCCGCAAGAAGGCTGTCCTCAGCCAGGGCAGGCGTTTTGCAAGCGCCTCCCGAGCTGCACGAACCTGTACCACGTTTACCAAGGCGCCAGTGGCTCCGTGGCGCACGAGCTCAGAAGGCTCCGTATCACTGGCTTCCTCCCCTCTCGCAGCGCTGCACAGCAGCAAGCAGGCAGCCGCGAAGAGCTCGAGCGTCCCTGGGAGTTGTAGTTCCTTGGTCGGCTCCCTACCTGGGTAGCTGGGCCTGGAGCAGAGAAGGGACTACCGGCCCCAGCATGCCCT